CCATTTTGCCCTGGGCGCAGGCAGTCCCTTCCCTCCCTGGTCGGTGTGCGCGTTTCTGTGAACCAGCCCCCGATCTCCCGGGAGACGTTCGGTAAATATTTGCTGAACTGACCGGTTCCTTCCTCTCTATCAGCAGCGTGCATGGCGAGGACTCCCGTTCCCATGGACGGTTCTGAGATGCATTCCAGACAGTCGCTGCTCCTGCTCAGAAATCAGGGGCTCCCTCGCTGCCTCTCAGCACCCAAGATGCTAGGAGATCTGCACCACAATTATCGGCTCCACCAATGAGGTACAGGCGGCCCGGCAGACAGGCCCAGACAAAGCCCAGAGACCTTGTAGCTGAAAAGGCCCTGAGTGGTGCAGAGGGAGGTGTGAATGCAAAGTGAGAGCAGACCCGGCTCTGCCAGAGACTGTGGGCAGGGAGAAGGTGGGTGCATCGTGCCACCCCCACCCCTCCTCCTGCTACCCCCCACCTCCCCACCCCCAGTGCTCACTCCCTGGCCTGGGCTTCTGTCCCTCATGCTGGAATGGGCCCAAGTGTGGGGGTGAAACAAATGTTTACTGCAACAAGACCATCATGTGTGGGAGATTCTAGCTCCAGGCGGGATGAAAATCTTAACTCCTAAAGGAAGATGGATCCTTGACTCTCAACAACCCACAGCTACCGACTGATGGGGCCCCGGTGTGTTCACAGAGCAGATGGCTCCGGAGGGCATGCTTGACCTGAATCTTCACAAAGCAGACCGGCAGGCCTTTCTTCCGTGGCACTGCTGGGCAGGTTCCAACCACCAACCCTTAGGTGAGTCATCAAGAGCAAAGGCCTCCCAACCGAGAACTACCCCTTTGGGGGGTGGGCACCCGCGGCCACTTAGCCATCACAGGTGCGGCTCCCAGGCCTGTGGCAGACATCACTAATCAATCAGGATGCTGTTCCGTGCAGAGCCTGAGCACAGCCTCACACTCCGGGGAAAGATTCTGGGTAGCCTCGACCAATGGGCGGGCTTGGAGGGTGGATGCTACCTGTTCACTGGTTCATTTGGCAAACAAGACTCTCAAAAGTCACCAACTGTCCACAGTCAAACAGCTGGCCTCCCCACCCCTACCTGAGGCGCCTGACATCTGGAAAATCTCACTGGCTCAGAGATAACGTGATCAGCTCTTTGCGTGAGCTGAGCCCGCTGGGGCTGAAGCTGTGACAGCCACTGACCGGTCTCTGGTGGACGTGTTTGTAGTCAGAGAACAGGAGGCGAAGGATCTGGAATAGGGCTGCTGTAAAGGGGGCCTAGAATGAAGGCTGAATCACCTGGAGTGCATCCTACCAAATCCACAGGGTCATGTCTCACCTCCACAGCACACCTTGTAGATGAGGCAGTGGTGGCTCAGGGGTGGAAGTCGTGATTCTCTGTGGGAGACGGGCTCGATTCCCAGCTAGGGAACCTCATGCACAGCCACCAACACAGTCTTTTGTGTTGCTGGGATGAACAATTTTCAAAGGGATTTCCCAATTACGGAAGACTAGGAAGAAAGACTTGGCAATCTACTTCTGAAGACCACCCAACAAAATCCCTGTGGATCCCAAGGATCTGATGAGCAAACTGTCCTGCTGTGTGCAGGGTGTCCGAGAACCGGGAGACCAGCACTCGGCCACCTCGGTGGTGATGGCAGCAGAGGCAGGTGGAAGCTAAGAGCTCTGCAGAGCGGTGCCAAGTGTACGCACACAGGAAGAGTCAAAAAGGCTCCCCTCTGTCCCCTGAATTTCCAGGGGAGAAGATGTGACGGGGAGTGTGAATCTGACTGGCACACGTTCGGGTTTACAGCCTGGAAGTCGCCTGACACATGAGCATTGGTTCCCCAGGGGGTGGGGAGGAGCAGGACACCCCAGGAATGGAGAGCGCATGGGGGTGGGGGTGTGTGCTAAGTAAATGCAGGTGACAGTGCCACCAGTGCCCGCTCCCATGGCACGGCGGTGCCGAGGGCAGCTTCAGGACATCCACAGCGGATGCCCCAAACCAGTCGGGCCCCACTGGAGTGTTCATTGCAACCTTTGGACACAGCAGCAAATTAACTAATCCACAGCTAGTAAATGCATCGACTCACTACAGCCTTTAACCGGGCCTGCTGTCCTTGACCCCTGTCCCACTCCCATAGTCAAGGCGAGACTTGAAGAGGAGGAGAGAGGTGAGGGACAAACGGACGCTGTCCAATGAGCCATTTGTGCCAGGTGCACTGGGGACAGGAAATGCAAGCCTTACAATTACAGCCCCCCAACATGTGCGGCGCTGTCACCATTCACAAGCGAGCAGATGGGTCACCTTCGAGGAAGAAAACCGTGCACACAAGAGGCTCAGGATGAAAGGAGACACTGCTCCGTCTGCAGCTGCCGGCCAGCCTGACTGAGGGCATGTCCACCGGCCTCCTGCCCACGGCTGACACTTCTGACCCTCAGTGACAGTCTCAGTGGCTGGGCTGGGGCTCCAGAGAGGGGTAAGCCAGCCTGGATGGGCTGCTGCAGAGCTGTGGGACCCTGGGCACACCCCAGATTTCCCTGAGCCCCCAGGCTGTATCTGGGTCAGAACCACATGGCTAGCAGGGTGGAGAAGGTTACCCCGAGGGAGGGCCGACCTGACAAGAGAATCAAGTCACGAGTCACGGTCAGGGGGGCAGTCAAGGCAGGCAGACTCAGAGACCCCCACGGGGCAGACCTGCCCCCCAAGAGCTCCACGGCCGTAATCTTTATGAAGGTGGCTGCTAGGTCTCAGCTCCAAAAGGAACAACTGTGGTGTCTGAACCACCAACTTTTCACATGTAACATCTCAGCACATTGCACCCCCAGGCGTCCTTCCACACACATGCACGCACACAAACGTAACCACATACACAAAATACAGGAGTAAGCGTAGAGAAAGGAGGAAAAGCTGCAGAGACCCTCTGAAGACTCTTCTCCTCCGACCATCCTGTCACTGCGCTAAGGACACAAACTGAGAGTCAGACCTGCTCCCTGGGTTCGAATTCTGGACAAATGATGGGTTTCACACTGCTGACCCAGCATAGTTAACTGCAAACTGCTTCTGGTGCATCATCACGTCTCACCCTTTCCACGGTCCTCAGGACAGCCACGCGGCGAGGGGGCTGGGAGCCGGCCAGTTGGGGAGCGGGGAGGATTTGGGCTGGATGGCGCAAAGCTGCGGGGAGCGGACCTCTAACAGTGCCGAGCGCAGAGCCTGGATGCGGTCTGTGTTGCTAAACACACTGAACAATAAATGTCCAGGCTTGTCACCGTAACATCGTAACACTACTGGCATCGGCTGCCGTGGCCCAGGTCCCCGACTCATGAGGACATCCAGGCACAGCAGAATCAGACCGTGTGACCCATAGGGTTTCCACTGACTGGTGTTTCTGAAGGGGCTCACCCACCAGGCCTTTCTTCCTCGTCTCTCCTAGTCGATGGTCTACTGAAACCTGCCCTGCAGTACATTCCTGCCACTGTTACCACCATCCCTTTCCGAGGGTGGATGGACCCTGAGGCCCAGAAGGCCGTGCGGAGGGGCAGGACCCTGCATCCTCACAGGCTGCTCCAGCTGCTCCCTGCACTGCCTTAGGGTAAATTCTGAGGACCACCTCACAGTAAGTGGACGCCCAGTGCTGGTCTGACCACGCTGGAGGACTGACACTTCGACCCCATACTCAAGGAGGACACACTGTCCCCTGACCCGGCTGGACACCTGCACACACCTGGTCCTGTGAGACGCCTGTGGGACAGTAGCTCCTTCTGGATACGTGACGGAGAGGAGGGGCAGCTAGAGGCTCAGGACCAAGGCTCTGCCCAGATGAACCTCGACTCAGACCCTGGCCACTGTGTGGTTCTGGGCCAGACCAAGCATCTCCCCCTTCTGGGGGCCTCGGGGTGACAGCATCACCCCCACCCTGAGCCTGCTGGGGCTTACAGATGACCATACAAGGTGAGGTGCTCAGCACAGACCCCGACCCCAACCAGCACTCGGGTCGAGCAGGAAGAACCTTCCAGAAGCCACAGATCCCGAGCCCGACCAGCACTCAGGTTGAGCAGGAAGAACCTTCCAGAAGCCACGCTGGCTCCCTATATCCTGAAACCTTCCCCTCACCACTGACTTCTGCCAGCCAGCGGCTTTGTCTGCCTGCCCGTGGGTCCATGGAACCAGCTTTGTCTTCCTGCGAAGGCTCACAGTGCCCCCTGCTGGCCGTGACTGGGCACTGCTCCCAGGAAGGTCCACGGCAAACCCACTACCCTCAAGTGGGTCCTGCCTGCCTCACAGGGACCCTCCAGGGGGGTTCAGAGGCCGCAAGTGGAAACGAGAGGAAAATGCCCATCTTTCTCCTGTAGAGATTTGAACCACCAGACTCGCAGCCTTTGGTGAGGAGCACATCCCCCTGCGGACCACGTCACTGGCGTTGCCCTCCTGGAAAGCTCAAGGCCTACAAACCCCCAGGAAGCAATTTTACTCTATCGCTTGGGGCTGAACACGGACAAGGGGTGAGTTTGAAGAGTCAACCTTTAGGTTAACAGCCAAGCACTTAATGGCTGCATCCCTAGGTTCTGCCACAGCAAGGTAAGCTCCAGGTGACTGGAACATGGGAAGACAGAATCACCAGTAGAGTTGGACCGAGGAGTGAATCCAGCAGGGCAGCAGGGCGCTGGCTCCTGCACCCAAAGAGAAGGGACAGGATGGAGGGGACCCTGCTCTCCTGTTCACTCAAGCACAGGCGGCCTGGCGCCGCGTGCACTTCTCTGCCTGATACTACAGGAAGCAGCCTCTTAGGTTACAAAGGCAGCAGCACAGACGACTTCCGAGAGGCCACCGGGACTTCCGAGAGGCCACCGGGACTTCCGAGAGGCCACCGGGACTTCCGAGAGGCCACCGGGCGGACAGCCTGCAGAGCAGCCAGCTGGGCCCAGAGGCTCCGTCCCGCGGTTTCAGCGCTCGCCCACCCGCCCGTGCCCGAGACAAGCCGGCGCGGCTCACCTGAAGAGCTCCCGGATCTCCCGGCTGTCAGCTTGGAAAGGGATGTTTCGAACCAGGATCTTGGAGGTTGTCTGTTTTCTAGCCACTTGTTTCTTTCTCGTGGATGTTGTGGCTGGCCTGAGGGGTGGAGAGAAGAGGGCACAGGTCAGCTGAGGTCCCAGATGCCAAGTGCACCCCTCTCTTACCTGGCACCCTTATGCTCACAAGGTGGATCCCCGGGGTTTGTATCCAAGGGCCTGGGACAGAAAGAGGCAGAAGCCTGTGTTCCCTTGGGAAATGTGGCTCACAAGCCTCTTTGCCCCAAAACAGCTGCACACATCCAGCCCACACACCTCACCCCTGGATGCTGCTGCCCTCCGTCTCATGGGTATCGGAGGCCTGGAAACAGAAGCCTCGTCCACAGTTCTGGGTGCTTTGCCACGCAGTGCTAGATGACGAACATGATCATGCTAGCACAATCAAGGAGCTCAAGTGCAACTGGTGGCAAGTGGTCCAGACTGGACACTCCAGACACCACAGGACGTTCTGCACTGCAGAGCGGCTCCAGGTGCAGGTTCCAGCCCCACTCCCAGGGGGGTCCCTGCTGACATCTGGGACTCAGGAAGGTTTCAGTGATTTATTGCTGAATGCAAGAATAACTGAGACCTGGCCAGAAGTGAGACGCTGCAAGGCAGACCTCCAGGAGGAAGCTCCCTGCTAAGGCCAACTGCAGGGAATGGCACGCACCCCCTCTTGTCAGTACACCTTTAGAGCAAAGGAATGGCCGACACCTCACAGCCCAGAGAGAGACTGCAGGGTTCAGGCCTCGATCCCCTTAAGTCTTCTGAGGACTGCCGACCCCAAGCCTTCCTCTCCTAAGAACGTCCTGTAGCGCACAGACCCCAAAAGGGTGAATGGCCCCAGAAAGGGTCTTTGTTGGATTCAAAGCACACACAGAGACAGTGGACCTGGAAGCTAGGGCGCCTCGAGACAATCATTAACCCAACTCGAGGATGGCATGGCTGGTGGTCCCCTTACCACCTGAGGCAGGTGGGTGGTGATGACGATGTGGTAATAACAGTCGGTGCTGGGTGCTGGCAGAAGCCCTGAGTTCACGCAGATGTACAAGCAAGTTGAGGTATTAGACAAACTATAGTCCGAAAGAGTAGGCCAGCGCTTCCAGGAAGCAGTCACAGGGCAAACTGGTCTGCTCCCATGGCTAACGCCTACCGAAACGACTGGGCATCTTTCAGATTAGTGGGAGGCTGGTCCCAGTGCCGCCGCCAAGCTCCAAGAAAGGCCACTAAGGCCAAAGCTTCCTCTGGCCTGTCCAAAGCACCAGCAGCCTGGGACACTTGCCAGGCTCATTTTATATGGTCAAGGTGAATGCCATCTGACTGTTTCCCCTGAATGTGACCCCTTTATCATAACAAAAGTCCACCAGAAGGGCTGCTGTCCAGCAGAGTAATGGGACAGAGCAACACGATGCCACCTGAATGAGGACGAGGGTCAGGCAGTAAGGACTGGGGCAGGGAGGACATGGGAAGGGCCATGTGACAGACAGCAGGGTGGCCAGTGAGAGGAGGGACCACGTCCAGGGTATAGGGAGGGACACACACTCACTTGATGGCTCTTTCTGAAATCCGTATTTCCAGCTTGTGGCTGTCCACGATTTGACCCTGTGGAGGATGACAGAACAGCTTGTCTCCGGTCCTCCGGGCATCACACTCACCCACCCACATCCTTGTCCTTCCTCAGAGCGGAGCCTTGTGGTCAGGCAGGAGCGGGAGACGGGGGAGAGGACGGGCTGTTCCAGGCTGGCTGGGCCCCAGGACAGGGAAATGGCTCAGGCCGAGGCAGGGCCGCAGCTGGTGGTCATGGAGACCCAGCCTCCAATGTTCCAGAGCCGTGATAGGGCCTTGACCTTCAGACCACGCAAAGGACCGAGAACTTTCCAGTGTTTGTCAGCATTTAAAGGCAAAGAAGTCTCCTGGGCCTGGCTGGCAGATCAGATTTGCTTTCGTTTGTGGCTGATTTTAAAACCAGCCTGAGTTGCAATTCAGAGTGGCATCAAAAACTGGGATCGACTCCCAGTCCCCAGAAACCAAACCAGTGAGTGAGCGCAGCCACCCTCAATTTCTACATCTCTGCAAGAAGACACCACAGACAGCTTTGTACATGCGATGCTGAGTGACTGTGCATGTGCACGCAAACAGCTACGTACAGGGATGTGACACTGGCGCGTGCACAGCGGGATCTTGTGGGGTCTTCAGTTACAGACAGCCTGTGAACCTTTGAGAGCTCGAGATGAATGAGGACCTGCCATCGAGGAAGGAAGCTGGACTCCCACACTCTCTCAAAATATAACGACGAAATCCACAACAAAATAGAAAACAGACGAGCTGAGGTCCAGCCTTTCCACGGGGCAAGCTTTTTGGACAGGGCAGGAGAGTCGTGGTCTTGGTCTGGTGAGGGTGGGCTGCCCGGTGCACTGACTCCCACTCCCTACCTGGCCCTCATGGGCATCTGTCTACACTCACTGGTGGAGGGTCCTGGAAAAGGGCTGATACACCTGGCTGCTAATCCAAAGGCTGGCGGTTTGAATTCTCCCCAGAGGCGCCTCAGAGGAAAGCCTGGTGACTTACTTCCAAAGATCAGCCCCTGGAGGCTCTATGGGCACGGCTCTTCCCTGACATGCAGGGGGCTCTGGAGTCGGGTCGGCCAGGGAACCACGACTCTCTGGGGTCGACCAGGGAACCATGACTCTTTTCTCCCAGATCTCTGAGCAGCTGAACCCAGCCAATTCATCCAAACCCAGTCTGGAAGTGTATGGGGCACAGCTGCTGCCCCAGGAGGGTTCTGGCTATAAGCTCAGTGGAGGCTGACTATCAGGCCTCTTTTCCATGGTGCAGCCAGGTGAAGTATGTAAAGTACTGGGCTGCTAACCAAAAGGTCGGCAGTTCCAATCCACCAGTTTGTTGGTGGGAGAAAAATGGGCCGGCCGTCTCCTCCAGAAGGATTTACAGCCTCAGAAACCCCACGGGGGGTCGCTGTTGAGTCAGTCAACTCGGTAGCAGTGGGTCTGCTGTTGGCACTGCTGGGTACATATGACAGCCAACCTTCAGGTCAGCATGTTAACTGTGAGTTCTGGCCAACAAAGTGCCAGGTGGCCCGTGAGCTGGGTGGAGAGGCCTTCGCTGACTGCATCATCTAACGCACTCACTTCCGCTTTCCCTGGTGTCACACCAACCCCACCACAGCTGGGCCCATTCCGACTCAGAGAGGCCCTGCAGGGCACAGCACAACTGCCCAGGGCGTTTCCAAGACTGCAGGGATCATGAAACTGGAACACTGCTCTCCTCTGGAGGGACTGCTGGGTTCGAACTGCCAGCCTCCGGGTTAGCAGGTAAACACGCAGCCAGTGCCGTGACACAGCTCCTTCCCAGGACAGCACCTGTTTACAGGTGTGCAGCCAGCAGCCTCCTCCACACCAGCAGTGACCACCGGTGGCTCACCTGAGCTCCCAGGGCCCTGATGCCCACTGCGGAACTGAACAGATGAGCCACCATGTCTCTGCGGTGGGCAGGGAGGGTCATGGTTCCTGGGCTGCAGGTGGTTGGGATGCCCCGCTGCCCGCCGCCCACCTCGTACAGGACCCCACTGCGCAGGGCAGGAGCTTTACCTGGAGCTGCCTGAGCGCCTTCTGGGCGTGCTCCGGCTTCCTGTACTCCACAAAGCCAAAGCCCATGGAAAGCAGCGCTCCTGGAAGACAGAGACAGGGCCAGCGGCGTGAGGGAGAGGGAGACGGGGGTACAGGCTCATGGTGAAGTGCAAGGGCGCCTGAGGAGCCTGGACCTCGGCGCTATGCTCCCCCCAGAGATGGACGCTCTTCTATTACACGTCATCTTGAAGAACCAGCCACCCAGGTGCCACAGCTGCCACCCGAGGCCCAGCTGATTGTTAATTAACAGATGACTGACACCCTAATTAACTTCGTAATGGAAGTTCGCCTCTGGGAGGGGGCGGGAGCTGCAGGGATGACCATGGCTGTGACGGACACTAAGCCCCCACGTCGTCGACAGCGCCCGCCCTGCCTCCACGCACGTGCTTAGCACGAGACGCATGCGAGAGTCCCCAGCTCTGCCCAACTCCACGTGGACCGCTGGCCTTCATCCACCCACAGCCGCTTCCGGAGTTCCAGGCAGAACGTTCAGAGCGAGTTCAGACAGCAAGGGGTGGCTAGAAAGTTTATTGCCCCCCCAAAAAAATTTCTTAAAAAACACCTCGTTTCTGACTTCTGTTGCTCCGTGTGTGTGTATGTGTAAATAAAAATAATGGGTGGGGGAGTGGGTGATGGGCTGTTTCACAAAGACTTAAAAAAACAAGTACCCCGAATTACTTCTTCAAAGGCAGTGGCAGCTCGGTGGTGGGGACCTGGTTCGATTCCCAGCCCAGGCACCTCATGTCTGCCAGTAGAAGTCTGTGTGTTTCTACGGGGCTGGGTTTTAGCAGAGTTTCCACACTAAGCTGGACGAGGAAGAAAGGCCTGGTGATCTACTTTCGCACAGCAGGCCATGAAAACCTACGGGCCACACGGTTTGAGCTTCATATGACGGCAGAGCCGGTATGTGACATCACCGTGATCTCTGGCCAACGTGACAACAGCTAACAGTATCACATCCTGCCTCTCTGACACAGGACCTGCAGTCCCCCTTCTCCCCAGCGTTTCACCCACGCTGGTCACATTTGCTCTGTATTACTTCTTGCAGCTGGACAAGAAGAAGATTGACTTCAGTCTAGTGGGCCCACACGGCACTCACGGCTCCACCTCTGTCTCGACGAGCAGCTCCCCTCCTTCCCTCCTTTACTGGTTTTAAGGCCTGTAATTCAGACTATGTGCTGGCACAGCCCTTCACAGGCCAGGGTTCCCCAGCCAAGAGTCCAAACCCGCCACTGGCAAGTCCATTCCGACTCACAGCAATCCTACGGGGCGAGCTGCTCCTGGGTCCTTAATGGAACTTCTTCACTCTGGGTTTGCAAAAGAACTTCTACTAACCTTCTTCTACTAAAGCCTTTGGATTTGCAAAAGAAATTCCACTAACTGTCCAAACACAGCATCGCAGGCCCCAGGAAGGGGGTGGGGTGGGTGCACATGGCACTGAGGGTTGGCAAGCAGTGCCACCCTGTGGTGACTTGACCACAAGACTTCCTCATGTTCAGAGGTTCTGAGATGCCACCCTTAGTGACCCTGTGATCAAGAGCTCGGAACCCTGCCCTCTCCTAGGCCATCCTCATGGTCTACATCCGGTTCAGATTCTTTGGACAAGGTGAAAAAAGGCGCAGGCACTGTCATTTCCTAGGAAGTGTCCAGAACACAGAGGGACTGGGAGGAGGACCCTTTGGCCATCAAATGGTGTCACCTCTGCCTGCCTCCTGTGTCCACTGGGTCCAGTGTCCAGGGTTGCAGGGACAGGGACCCTCTCAGACAAGTAAAGCAGGGATTTCGACAAAACAACGGCTTGGAAAAGGAGGGCAGGGAGGGTCACGAACATGAAGGATGCAATTGCTGTCACTGACACCACAATGTGACGTGAAGGACAGGGGAACCAAGTGCCCAGGTGGCGTACGCTCTGCTCTGTGTGGTCTCGACGACAAGAAAACAGACTCGAAGGACAAGCAAAAGTCTGGGAAGCAAAGACGCAGGCACCGGCCCTCCACACCCGCACTCCGCTCCGAGCTGCCTGCCTCCCAGCCCCGCGGACAATACCTGCTTTGCTCTTCTTCTTGGAGATGGAGCAGCTCTTCACCATTCCCACCTTGGAAAACACCTGCAAGAGAACAGCGCGGCCATCAGGTCAGCTGCCTTTCCCGACTCATCGGGCGCCTGAGGCCACGCCTCCTCCCCAGGGCACAGGGAGGCTGACTATGGGCCTCCGCCAAGGCCTGCCTGGGGCCTCACTCAACCCTCACAGCCGCCTACCAGTGACTGTTACCCACACTGTGGGGGGTTCAGATGGAAGAATCTCACGCAGGGTCCCCGAGCTAGGAAGTGCGGGAGCCGGGATCTGACCCGGGCATTTAGAGTCTCCAGCACCATGTGAGTCGGGGCCCTGACCAGACCTTAAGCTCCCCAGAACCCAAATCCACTGCCATGCAGCTGATGCTGACTCATAATGACCCAGTAAAGCAGACAAGGACTGCACCTCTGGGTTTCCACACCCGTAAATCTTTCTGGCTGCCGACTGCCACACAGCTCTCCCTTGAGGTGCGGCTGCTGACTTCGAACCTCGGACTTTCTGGTTAACATCCAAGGGCATTAACCACCATACCACCTAAGATCTTGGGTCTTAACCACCATATTACCAGGGATCTCTGGTCAGACCCTGTAGCCCCCAAATAGATCATACCACCTTGGGGTCCCTAAATGAATGATCTCAAAGTGCAGGATGATGGCCTAATTTTAAAGTAACGTGGCCAGCCCCTTGGAGTTCCCTGATGTGACAACTGGGCTGGCTGAGTGCTCCATTTAGAAGAAACTAGGGCACATGAAGTGGAGAGATTTACGAGGCTCACCCAAGTGAGGAGGTGCTGGTGTGCATCTGGAAACACAGACTCCTCTGAGCTCCGTTCTAACCTTTCTCACGGTCACTTATACGTAGACCTAGAGACTACACAGCTTAAGGCATTCTTAAGTCTCCCCTAGACCTCAGGCCTACGTCCTCCAAGCCCACACAGCACAGCGGTTCAATACAGAGCAGGCAGAGCTGCCGTGACTCAAGCTCTATTCATCGCCCCTGAGAACAACACCCGCCAAGAAGCCAAACCACAGTCGTGCAGTCAGTTCGGAGGCCTGGGGACCTCGTGTGTGCTGAGCGCGGCTGCTCCAGTGGACTTTCAGGGCCCTGACCTTTCGCAGCAGAGCACCAGGCCTCTCTTCTGGAAACCTAACTCCAAGTTACCCTTCTCCTTTCCCCCTGCCCCATCTCCTCTCCCCCTGCCCCTTCTCCTCTCCCCCTGTCCCATCTCCTCTGCCCCTGCCCCTTCTCCTCTCCCCCTGCCCC